GTAGTTGACTGAACTATTTAGTCAAGGCTAGCCAGTATGAGTTTATGAGTTAGTGTGGAGTGAAGGAGGTGGAAGGAGAAGAGGTAGAAGGAAGTAGAGAAGGCCAACAAAACACTGTCTCCACAGGAACGGGAAGAAACACCGGGAAGGGCATAAGCATAGGAATCTATGAAGAAAACAGAGAGGAGCCAAACCAGAAGAAGCAAGGACAACCCAGGACTGATACCAAGGCGCTGGGCAACACAAATCCATGATAAGCACTGGACTTGTCATCAGGTCAGACTTAGTGACCATAACTATAGCAGAGATGTGGAAGACGATTTATTAGAGAGTGGTGAGACCAGAGGCAGTGAGACCATCTGCCACGTCTCTGAAGGGGTAACAGCGACCTTGAAAGAAAAGCAGGCAGGCTGAAAGGACACTTCATAAACAGTCTAGTTAGATGAGGACTTAGGTTAGGTCACAGGAAAGAGGTATCTGTGGTGGCAGAGGAGGAAAGGAAGGAGGAGTCCTGGAAGAGAAGTCCAGCCGAACATGCGCACAAGGAGCTCCATTTTAGGCCTGTTATCCTCGTGCAGGGCTGAGCTAATGCTCTCTGTGTTGCTTGGATTTCAGTCTGTGCGCTCTGCCCAGGCGAGCTCTGGTTCCAGACCTCTTCAATCTAATGGTGCCTAATGGGCACGGAGGCCAGTGAGGACACCTACGCCATAAAGGAGAAGCTGAGGCTCTTTTCTAGACCAAACACAAAGAATGACACCCTTTGGCTACAGGGACATGGATACCGTTCTGAATCTGGCTTCTGTAAATGACTCTGTACGTTACTTGGAGCTCTACCTGGGTGGCCTCAGATCCTGCATTAAGCCCACATGCTCAACTTTGATCACCAATGTTTGTCCTTTCCAGCATCCTTTGGTAAAGTGGTTGTCCTGGGGGTGAGGAGGAATTTGTTTTCTTTATGGCAGGCTGTAGCTAAATCGATTTTCCCTCAGGACATCTATTCTACATTGTGGAACAGGGCGGAAGCAGGCTTGTGGGGACAAGTAATTCTTAGAGGTTCCAAAAGCAGAAGAAGTTTTCTGCTGCTAAATTCCTCCACTTTTCTTGGGTAAGAGAATGTGGTGACAAGTCTATGGCAACAAAAATAAGCAAAATGAGAATCTGCATTAAAAAATGTGAGGTTTCAAAATAATTTCTAGATGGTTACTGTATAAAACAGGACCCCAACAGCTCAAAACCCCTGTTCGGCTGCCCAGTCTAGTAGGAGAAAGTAGGCTTTTCTACAGGTGGGAACCTTCCTTTGTTACAGTGTGTTTAGCAGACTGAAGATCTATCTGACCTATTTAATAGTTCAGGCAAACCACTCTGAGTCTACATGGAATGGGGTGGGGAAGGTAGGAGGAGAACAGGTAGAAATAAGGAGAGCGCGCCCCAGACTTCTGTCTCAACTGAAACCAGAGGAAGCCCTAAGAATTAGCAGAAAAGGCAGAAACCCAGGAACATGAGCCTCAGAAAGCCACAGAAGACCAAGAGAAGCCACCCTACCCAGGGGAAAGGACTGCTGCCGGGGCGGGAAGCCAGGCTCTATCCCGGCAGGGGCTCCTCCCTGAAGCAGGTGTGTAAGCAGCCCCCCATACCCCCCCAGAGTGGAAGCAGGGGGCTCGCCCAGCTCAGGCCTCCCCAGCTAGGGCCAAAACACTGCCCTAGAACGGGTCCCTCTGCACGATGCTGAAAACTACTGCTCCCTTCCTCTCCACGCCATGTACTTGATCGTTTTAAGGACATTCCGGAAGAAATATCAAATGTCCACAAACAAGCAAAACAGGCATGTGCATCCAGAGAGGCAAGGGTGAATTCCAGGGCTGGATGTCAAGCTGAGACGGAGCAGACCTGGTCTCATGGAGACCATTCATGGCCTCCATATCATGGTGGTATCATGGTGGGTGAGAGGCGTGGACAGCAGTCCTGAAACCCACATGAGAGCCTCTAGTACAAGGAGATGATTTTCCAGTCATAAAGTCAGTGATGGAAGCTATCCTTTTGTGACAGCTGAAACTAGATCCCCCTCCTCCCTCCCAACAAACCCTCTATGGCTGGCCTTTAAGCCCTTCTAGGCTCTGCTTCCATAGCTCACAGCCCGTGATCTCTGTTCCCGGGTCTCCAAGAGTAGGGAGGGCATGGAGGAACCAAAACTTACCTAATTAGTGGCAGGGCCTATTGTCCTAATACAGTTACCATTCTAGGGAAAAGAAAAGCCCGCTTCCTTCCCAGGAAGTGTGTGAGGGTAAAGGTTCATACTGAGAAAAAAAAAAGAAGAAAAGCATACCAGTCACCCTAAGGATGGGAAGCCGGATTCATGAGTTAAGAATCTCTCGAGGGAAACATAAAAGCTACAGGAGGTTTGGAAAAGATGCTGAAGACCCTAATGGACTGTTTGGTTCTGAAACAACAGTGTCTCTAAACACAGAGAAAAAGGCCTGCAGATAGATAACACTACGTCAGCAAAGGATCTCTGAGTGGCGGAATGAGAGAGGACTTCTGTTCTTCCTTTCGAAAAACCTGACACCGGCCACCGAGGTGCGGCACGTAGCGGGTGGCTGAGGGGCACTTCAGGCAGAGCGAGGGACAGAGCAGCACAGGGCAGCCTGCGGTGTCCCATGGGCAAAGGCTGCTTGAAGGCAGCTGTGAGGCTCAGGGGAGGAGCAGGAGATGGGCCTGGAGAGGAGGCAGGGCTGTCCCAGAGGGTGCAGGGGCCAGTGACAGCCAGGATGCTTCCATCAACAGAGTCTTTCACACAGGACAAAAGTCACAAGCATGCACAGCACGCACTTACCCTCTCCCCCAGGGACCACTCCCGGACCCAGAGGGAACTGCAGATTGAAAGGAGCTACTCTAAAATTCTCCATGATTGTTTTTTACACGCAATGAGCCTGAGATCCAAAATCTGATGACCCAAATGGCCACAAATATAACCGGCAATTGGTAAAGGACAGCTTCGACTCTTTCTTTCCCTAAGCTTTTTCAGCAAACAAGCACCCAGAAGTCACTGTCCTATGAACTGTGTACATACTTAACAGAAAAAGGTAAAATGGCTGTGCCTGTGCCGGCGTTCACTGCCCTTCTTCCGGAAGCACGGCTGACCACCTCGGAGGGCACACGTCCTATTTATCAGACAAATGACCGCACGGTGTCAGAGCAAGAATGTTGTCTTTGCCTTTCCATGCCACGTCCCATAGATCCAAATGACGCAGAGCAAATGGTTCACCCAGGAATACTTCAGTTGAAATATAAAAATACGTGTCACTGGTCCTTCAAAGTGACTCCAGTTGTAAATGTTTTTTAAGATGTTACACATTTCATCAGTTTCCATTGTAAAAAGCAAAGGCACTGGAAAGACAAGGCAACTTGTCCCCGGTCCTGCACGGGCTTCGCTGAAAGGCAGAAAGGAATGCCGGGGGAAATGGAGGCGAAAGCTTCAGAAGCGAGGAACACTGGCAAGCAGGGCCGCATCTCCTTTTCACCTTCAGTCTTTTCTCTTCCCCCATTCACAGCTTTAGGTCCTTTGTTTGTTTAACAAACCATTACAATCACACCCCGCTCAATGGCGAGGAATGTGAGCTCTCTAAGTAGCTGTGCTGGCGAGCCACATGTGTGGTCCGGCCCGCAGCCCAGCCCGGGGGCCTCACTGTGCGGGTCTGCGCTCCCAGCGCTCTGGCGGCCAGGCACCTTGCTTACAATGGGCCCCATTTCCCCCGCCACATGCCTGCTGCTCCTTCCCAGTAGCCTATAGCGATGTCCCAAGTAGCTCCTCCTTGCGGGCTAGCCTAGCCACCGGACTGGCTGTACTGCCTGGGCTTGTCCGGTTCAGCTCCCGAGACCGACGCTACCTGGTGTGGCAGCCACCCCTGCCTGCTCCCAGCCACGGACTCACCAGCCCCACAGCGTTGACACAGTCCAGTCTCTTCCCAGTTACCACGCTTAGCCTTCCAACGTCCATCACACAGGAAACAGAAGACACAAGGGCGAGACTCCCCCTCCCCTGCTTCATGGGAGTTGCTCTGCCTTTCTCCATTCCTACTAGAGGGACTGGCCATGTTGGGATGAATTTCAATGTCTTGGCCAAAACATCAAAATGTTTTTTAGTCCGATTGTATTTCAGAGGGCATTCAAAGGCTATTTAGCACAATGACAGTCTCATTAAGCCCTCTGAGGCCCCGTCAGAGAGAGAGGCATCTTCATCCCCATCCGACAGACGAGAAGACTGAGGTGTAGACACAGATGCTCCCTGCCCATCGGAACAGACAGAGAAGACGCAGCAGGTGCTGTTCTGTGCAAAGCACGGTGGCACACAGTGAGGGCGCCGCTAGTGTCAGCGTCACTGGTGATGACGACGATGACCAGAGGCCAAACCTGGGTGATCTGACCTGTGCGCTCTTCCCACCCGTACCCTGCCATCCTTCCTAGGTACACCGTCTGCACGAGCCCCAGGCTTCAGCTCTGGCTACAGTATTTCCAAAGACAGCCTCAGATTCTGTGGCTGGATCCCCTGGTACGACCGGCCCCTGGCCAGCGTCTTCCTCAGGCTGGGCAGCCAACACGTGCCAAAGAGAGGAAGACACCCTCTATGCAGCTCAGGCACACCAGGTGGGCCAGGGCAGCTTGAAAACATTTGAACCGACAGGGAGCCTGCAGAGAAGTCCGCAGAGTGACCTGTCACCTCTGGCTGTGTGTGATGGCCAGCAGACAACAGAAAGGTTGCCAGTGGGAGCCTCTGATACCCTGGGTTGAAGAGCATACTTAAGTTTTGAAAAAAGAAAAGTTAGAAGAATGCTGTTCGAAGATAGTTGGCAGTATGAGGGGGAAGTGTATTTCTTCTCTACTAGAACCTCTGGGAAGGCCCTGGAACCTCCTGCACAACCTGACTGTCCCTTGTGCTTCCAAGTGACTGGTCATACACGCGCCCGGACGGCAATAATCTGAAGACGCTACCACCGTTTACATACCTGCTGGGTGACAGGAAACACCAGCTTCCGGGTGGTCGTGGAGTCCTCTCAGGAGCTTGTCTGAGGAGTCAAACCTGTAGGAAGAGATCTTGCACGCCTTCAGTGAACGAAGCTGGGGCAGCGTTCCCCCCACCAGGCTGCAGCCTGAGCTTCCCTTCGGGAGCACATACACACACCCGATCATGTCTAGAGATTTCTGACCACCCTTCCAGGCATTTTCATGGACGACAGATCAGTTTTAAACTTTACGATCCTGTAGTAGGATACCTCAATAGCCACACCACCATTAATTTTTAAATGTCTCTGATCTACCATATGGCAAAAGTCTTAAACATTCAGATCTGATATATTTAAAAGGTATGATAAAGTTCATAATTCAGTAACTTAAAGGATTTTCAATCCGACGTCATCTTGCCCAGGAAGATCTTTAAGAATTTCTATTACATCTCTTTTCCTACTTGCAACTGGATTAGAAAAACCCTGAAGCTTTCCCCTGCTTTCTGCCAAGTTGGGGAGGAGGGCCAAACACCATGAAATTGTTTATAGAAAATATTCAAAATAGCACACAGAGGAAATGATTTTTTTTAAATGAACAATATTAGAATACCATAAACAGTATGCAAATCTATGCAATGACAGAACCTGAAACAAATTCTCAATTGAAAAAAGGCAGCAAGAACCAGCAGGCATTCATTTTCAAAAAGAGCTTCAAAGAAACATATAGATTCACCAGATGTGCAGGGGGAAAAGGCTGAGGCCTCTAAACTGAACCCACAGTCCAGTGGTCACCAAAGCTGGGTCTGCACTAGAATTGCCAGAGAAATCTTTTAAAGAATACAGGCTCCTAGGCCACAGTGCAAACAGCACAGCCTGGCAGCATATCACTCTGGCCCTGGGAGTCGAGGTTTTCACCAGGCCTTCCAGAGCCCAGCCCGCATCTGGCTTTGCACCACTGATCCCTGGTGAGCACGCAGAAACCAGTATCTCTGCTCACCAGCTCGTTATAAAACTTGGCTTCTTCCCGTTTAGAACTATGCCAACCTATCAGTCCTCAGAGGGGAAAGATTGTTAGGATTTTCTTTTTTTTTAAAGATATTATTTATTTATTTGTCAGAGAGAGAGAGCGCGCACAGGCAGACATAGTGGCAGAGGGAGAAGCAGGCTCCCTTTGGAGAAAGGAGCCCGATGTGGGACTTGATCCCAGGACGCTGGGATCATGACCTGAGCCGAAGGCAGCCGCTTAACCAACTGAGCCACCCAGGCGTCCCAGATTGTTAGGATTTTCTTAACCAGCACAAAGATAAATCTATTATGAAACAAAGCCAATCCTAAGTGATTTATTCACTTGGTTGCCTGTTTCCTTCTCTTAGTTTGATCAAAAAAAGGCTCTGCCCATTTATTTTGTAGAAGAACATCCTTTTAAGTTTTAAGTTAAAAATGGAAAATTAGGGGCGCCTGGGTGGCTCAGTGGCTTAAAGCCTTGCCTTCGGCTCAGGTCATGATCCCAGAGTCCTGGGATCGAGCCCTGGGTCGGGCTCTCTGCTCAGCGGGGAGCCTGCTTCCTCCTCTCTCTCTGCCTACTTGTGATTTCTGTCAAATAAATAAATAAAATCTTAAAAAAAAAATGGAAAAATTAAGATCATTTTAGACAACTAAATTTTTTAAATAACCCATCGCAATTCAGGAGAAAGCCTGGAGGGTTAAAACTGGAGGTAAGTAGGATCTCTGAAGCAACCAGAGTTTGTTTTGCATGTATAAACACTTCACAAATCGTCTCATGGCCCAGCCCTCTTCTCCAAATACCCAACATCTATCATGGTGCTTTAGATTGGGTAGCCTCCACAGGCCTGTATTAGTTGTTGTTGTTGTTGTTTTAAAGCACTTTAAAAAACATTGAACCAAGAGAGTAAAATCCTTCTGGATGATTCTTTCTTTGCTCCTACACATCTCACCAACGGACAATACCAATTTATGAATTCAGAGAGGCGGGAGCTCTCTCCTGCTTCACGAGAAAGGGTGCGCATGGCATGACGTACGCAAACCAGGCAGTGGAGTGGCTTAGCTTCATTGTCAAAATATTCAAATTATCACAAAAAGAAAGCAATTCCTTTCTGAACCCAACAATACTCCTTGGCCTCCAAGGGCTCACACAGGAGCTTATTCTTAAGCTGTTCAATGTAAGCAGCACCAGTGAAAGAGGAGAACTCTGGCAGGGAGGAGGCCAAGTTCCTCCGCCTCTCCCACCTGCCATCTCAGACCAGTAACGCTCACAGAGTTAACAATGCAACAGAGAACCTGCAAGCGTGCGTGGCCCTGGGGAAAACCTCGTGCACGGTGCAACAGTGTAGCCAAGCAGAGAAGAGAGGGGGAAAAGAACACATCTAAGTTTGACAGGACGCTCTTTGCACACTGCATTTCAGGTCAGAATTCAGATTTCAAAATCAGAAGAAAAGGTTTTAATCTTTCAAATGTAAACATATACAAATACGTACATATATATGTGTGTGTGTGTGTGTGTGTGTGTATAATCTTTGCTATATACATATATAGGTGTTATAGGGTCATTTTTCCCATATAGATATCCATATATGTCCATATATGTATATATCCATATACATATATGGATATGTATATGGGAAAAATGACCCTATAACATTAAACACTCCTAAATACATGTATTTCTGAGCTCCAGAGTAGCAAGAAAAGTCACATTTTTCTAGGAATGAGGATTGGCACACAGTAAACAGATTAGAGTTAATTGTTTAAGAGGGAAAATTTTCGGGGGTATGATCTGTTTGCGTCTGCTCAGTCACTGATGACAAACAGCGAAATCTCCTAAATCTAGAGCATATGGTTTCTAGAATGCATCTTTTCGGGCACAGTCCGTCTTTCAAGGCAACTGCTTCTGAGAGCCACATTTAAGAATATGTCCTTTTCTCTGTGAAGGTACTGGCTCAGCTGCCTGCTGGGCATGCACTGAAACCCAAATTAAACAAAGGAATTTCCCTCCAGCTTCAACTCATTCACTACTCCTGAGTTTTCTTAAGTCAATTCTTCAAACTGACTTTTTTATTTCTAATGATCTGAGTGGAAAAGAGTTGGGCAAGCCCCACACGCTGGAATTTCTTCCTCCTCTAGCTTGAAGATGGGTAAGGTTTGTGTTTGAAAAGCTTTTCAAATGAGTTTTTTAATTTTATTCTATTTTCTGAAGACTGTAATTCCAGACGGAAAGGAGCCCACTAGATACAGGAGATAAAAGACAACCCACTCTTACTTTGCTGAGTAAACAACGAGATTATTCCCCTGAAGTAGAGACCTTAAATGGGATATTCACATTTATCTCAAAACAACAAAGTCAGTTTAAAGATGTCACGGAGGAGTGAGCTGCAAAGGGTCCCTCAAAACCTGAATACATGAGCTGGCCTGACCGCTGGCTGTCTACCCTCACACACGATCGCTGGGGACCCCACTCATGACTCAGGCTTTCAACTCCTCCCTGAAATCAGAGGCCCTCCCAATCTCCATCTTCAATCCTGAACTTTCTTGCAAATTCCAGACGAATCTCTGCCTGGATATCTCACAGCCCTGAAGGTCGCCTCTTCTAAAGCAAGGGCCCCTCCAGCAATACCAGTTTTAGCTACTGGCTCCACGAGGTACCAGTTGCTAATATATCCTGGATGCTCACAGGCTGTGGCTATTTTAATCACTTAACACACCCTTAACAACCGTATGAGTAGGTGCTATTAGCCCCATTTTACTGATGGAGAAACTGAGGCTTAGAAGTACTCTGCCCATGGGCACGTGACCAGCAGGCAGTGGAGTTGGCATCCAGAGCCTGTGGTGGGAGCGGCCATGTTACCAACAGGGCAATCTCTCCACTGTGTCACTCCCCAGACTCTCCCAAGTCAGTAACTCTGGAGTCACACTAGATTTTTCTCACTGACTCAGCTATACGGATTCTGCGAGCGTACTGGCCCCCTCTTTCCGTAACTTCCGTAGTTACCACTGTTTGGGCCTTGTTTTGCCTTCTTCACAGCCTCCACATCAGCAAAGCAGGACGACTCTGGAATCCTGCTTCATTTGTCCTCCCAACAGCTTCTCTTCCTAGCTCATTTAAAACAGGAGGCAGGCTTTGTCATTCCTTATGTTTGAGCCCAGATGACCGCAGAGACAGTCTGTCCTTGTTAACCTCTAAACCCCATGAGGAGATTCTGTCCGATCCCCGAGATGGAAGAAAGAGAGGGTGCCCACGAAGGGGAGAGAAAGCACCTCTCCGGCCCTTTCACAGCTCTCTCTCCCAGGACAGTGGGCAGAGCCCTTGGGGAGGACAGGGTGTGGGCCGTGCTCCGGGAGACCCACACCCAGGGTGAGGTTTTCAGCCTCCACTCACGGTCCTTAGGCAGAGAGCTGCAGAGCCCAGTGCTGGGACACACAGAAGGGCCAAGCCAGACCCTCACCTGGCAGGTGCCATGAAAATCTCTGGGTTCGAGGACATACCCCGTGAGGGAAAGGGAGAGAGATGAAATGAAATTTCCCTGTATGTTAGCAGAATGGAGGTTGGACTCTGAATCAGTCACAGGGAATAAAAAAGGAAGACTTCCTGCATACTTGAAGTTGTGTGGTGAGGTTCAGACTTGGAGGTGGGGGGTGGTTCTGGAAGGTGCCAAGAACCTTAGCCTCCTACGCCATATGCATCTGTGCTACTGGCTAACCACAACTGCTACCACTGGTGCCAGACTGTTTTTCAGAAAAGGCAGAGAGGAGTGCGTCTATGCAGAGGCTCTGGTGACCTGGGGGCAGTCCTGTGAGAGAGGAGGAAGGAAGGAAACCCGCACAGATGTGGAGAGTTTACTCACAAGATTAACTCCTCTGATTCCTATGCAAACACCTAGAAAGGGAGAAACAGAGAAAGCTGTCTTTAGGGCCTTTATCTTAGACTGTGAGTTGCTTAAAAACCAAAAAAAGTAAGGATGTCGACCAGGACGAGGAGAGAGGGAGGCCAGTGCAGCTGGGCTCAGGACACCCCTCTTCCCATGCCTGGCCGGGACTCCAGGGCAGGGAGCTGGGACAGCAAGAGGGTCGGCTCATTTCCATGTGAAGGAAATGAGAGCGTGCAGCAAACTGACGAGCTCAGGGGAGAGGAGAGTCCTACGCCAGGAGAGAGGATGTGAGTCCTTCATGTGACAAATTTGTTCATTCAAAGATGTTGCAGTAACGGGAGGTACTTGTGGCACCAAATGAAACAATGAAGAGGGGCTCATACTTTGAGGCCAGTCACACATCCTCAAAGCCAACCCCATTTCAGTCCTGTGGCTAAATATCTGAGGCCTTCGGAAGAGACTTCCAAAAGCCCTGAGGAAAACTGGACAGGGTTCCAGACAAGCCCGGCTCTCCCAGCCATTCTGCAGAGTTCAGAATTTTCAGAACAGCGAGCCCTGGCCGGGAGAGCTTCAGATGGGCAAGAATCAGCAACCAGGGAACCCCATTCTCCTGCCACCCAGGCACCAAGTCTGCCCAGCAATGGGGCACATCCGGTAGGAAGATGTAACTGGGAGAGGAGGCTTTCCCTGAGGAGCAGGTGCCCTGTCACAGAGGCAGAGCGGGCCAATGCAGTGCCCTCTCCCTGCTTTGGTTGTTGGGAAGATGAGTATTTTGTAGGAAACTGGACCTGAGAAGAGAACTCACGGACAGTGAACATGGAGGCGAGGGTGTGTTGGGCAAGCAGGCCAAGGTTTGGGAAAGCAAAGCAACCACAGTGTGGGGCCACTCTGGCCTCATAAGGACACTTGCTTTCCTTCTCATGCCAGATAGGTGAGGTATAGAAGGGAAGAGAGAAGCAAGCAGCTGATGAACATTCGCATGGCCTGTGCCCAACCTCTGCCACCCAACACGGGCACCACGTGCAGGAGACTACTTTCCAGGCTGTGGTGCCTAAAAATTTTCTAGGACAAGTGTGCAGAGGTGTGCTGGAGGACGAGGACAAACCCATCTTATTGGCCAAACTTCAATTTTCATGTGGCTTCCCTTAAACCTGAGACTGGCCTGGTGAGTAAGGAGCTTGAATCTGTGAGGTCAGGGCAGAGGGGTTTCTACAGACTGGACCCTGAGGTCCAGTTGGACTCCTCAGTCTCTTTCTAGAGTCGCTCCCTTTCCTTCTTATCACAGTGCTGCTGTCAGAGGGATTCTTCAAACATGCAAATATGCCCCTGTTCCTTGGTTCTTGGGGTTCCTCCACCTTCCCATTAGTTTCTGCCAGTGGCAACCAAGAGTCCTGACTCATCAGAAGCACCAAAAGTTTGTCATCAGGAGACAATGTGCTCAGGTTTATGTTACAAAAGGAGACCTCACACAGCAGACATAAGGGCTATGCTCCCGGACTGATCCAGCGTATATGTCAGAATCAGTATGATCATAATTACTTTGGAGGGAAAAAAACCACAAAAAACAACCCAAAAAAGTGCACAAAAAAAATAAATGCAATAACTGTGCCCTGAAGTTTGTTCATAAAATGAACTGTTTGTAGGGAGTTCTCAATCTTCCCTGAGCCAGAGCTCACCACACTCTCACAGTGTTCTTACAGAGTTGACAATACAGGGCAAATGAGAACCGTTTTAGGGAAACAACATAAAACAATGATCATCTTAATGTGGTTCTAATTTACATGTTGATTGTGAGTGTATCTGTTTTATGAATCACTTTTAATTCCTGCGCTCAAACAAAAAGGAAAAAATTACCTTGGTAAAGGCCACATAATGGATCAATTAAATGACTCCCCAAATAAAGTACACTTCATTAGAGTATAAACACGCATAGCTCCTAGTGCTATTTTAAACACGCTGGTAGAGAAATGTGCTTTATTTACTAACTTTAACAATATTCAATACCATCCTATACTATGAAGACCCCCTTCCTGCCACCAACTCCCTTCATCTCTGAACTGCCTTCATTTTTAGCCTTTTGTCTGTTCAGGGAGTCAGAAAATAAAGACATTTTAATGATAATTCTTACACGACAACTTTTCTTACTCAGGAGTGTTGTAAGAATGTGTCTTCCTTTGCCTTATTCCACTGCATTCCAGTGCCGTCAGTGGCAAGGTCTACTTAAGACTAGCTTGAGTTCCAACAGTTACCTCAAAAGAACATCAACCAGATGATAGTACTGGTCTAGATACAATATAGAAAAATGGTGTGGTAGAGGAGAAAGGAGTCAGATGGCTCCAGGTTTGCATACTGGCTCTGCTACACACCAGGTACAGCGCCTGGGATGGGCTCCCTACCTGGCCCTTACGGTGGCACCCATCGACTTCGCAGAGCTGTTACAGGAATATACATCACATACATACACACAGAAGCACGGGGCTGCAGGGTCTAAAGCAGACATGCAAAGCAGACGTAGCCTGGTAATCAGTACCAAGAACGCCTTTACAGTCTGGGTAAGTTCACAGCTAGAACACACCATAAACTGTTTCAGACGATGTATGGTACACGTGACACAGCTCACTGCCATAATCGCCCTTCAATTTGGATCATTATGGCATGATTTAATTTCCTAACACTTGCTTGTGAAAGACATTCCTATTATTTCTTGCATGTTTCCAAGTTTTGTAGGACATGTATTTGAAAGACTCCTAACTTCTTAGCCGGTGTAATAGTATCACTGTGCTGTACATAACAAGATCATGTTTAACTAGAGAAAACGATTACGATGGTGCCTGGCACGAAATGGTCTTCCAGGTATCATAAAGTGGCCTAAAGGACGTACAGAAGTGATTCTGGCACTTTGGGATTTTGCTAAATATTTATCTTTGAATGTGCTGGTTGGACTAGTTTCAGTTAGAATCATTTGGAGAACAGGAATTTAAACACACAGCCCCATTTATCTAATATTCTCTTCACTCTGGCTTTCCACCTCGGGCAGCGGTGAATAACCTTCGAGAAGTCAGCCCCCAGAGCAAAATAAGTTGGGAAGTGACTTATCTAGTGAAAGGCTTAGGGGAAAAAAATTTCAAGTGTAAGATGTAATATAAGAAAACTTACACAGAACACTGGAATAAAAAAAATATATGGCATATTACAGTCAAGGACATTTTGTAAAAAAGAAAAAAAAAGTGTGGAGAGAGGCCAAGAATTAAGGTTAAGAAACAGTCAGCACTGAAGGTCCAAATCCAGGGGAGGGTGGCGTTAGGTGAGGAAGGCACGGGCTTCTTAAACAGAGAACTAATACATGTTACAGGGGAAAAAACATCAACATGCTGGATACGAAATTTAAGGCTGGAATTAGAGGTTGCTATTTTGAAATAGGTGGTTAAAACAAATTATAATCTCCATATGTATGGTGGAAAATGATCATAAATAAAAATTTCTGATAAATATTGAGTATCCTGCCAACCATAAGTCCTCTCAGATAAACACTGGATTTAGAGGCCCACTTTTTCCCCATTTCATAACTTTTGGAAATTTGGACAGAAGAGATGCAAACTGAGAATCACCTCATATTATGATCTTAAGAGGATGACTTAGAAACTGAACTGTAACATATCTAGCAGACTCACTATGATTCTAAACGGAGGATAACGCTCCCAAATTTTCCCTTAGTATTTATCTGTTTTTTAAGATCATTTTAAAACACCTTTTTAAAATGTAAGAGAGGGGGCTCATACATTTCCAGTAAACAAGTCATGCTAAATAAAAATCAGCTGTATAATATCCCTTATTTCTAAATGAAAATAAATATCAATGACCGTTCTTCACATATTCTCTTGATTTTTTTCTAAAGAGTGAAAAACAGGCTTTCCTATCCCTCAACCCTATTTCTCCTTCAAAGCCTGAAGTTCCTCAAATGAAGATTCTCTGAGAGCAAGCATTTTCTGGAACATAACCCCCTCTACTGTGGGAAAGGTGGAAGGCTTTGGTGTGTGCCAAACCAGAGGAAAGAACAAGAATACAGACTCACGCCTGAGTGCAGGGGAGCAGACGGGGCAGAAGTCTGCCGGCTCGGCAGAGACATACTTACCTTCGTCAGTCTGAGGTACAGAGGACTGTTCGATGTGACGTGAAACAGAGGCCACATCAGACGTGAAAGCAACCCTAGAGCGAGGGGGGAAAGAATCAAAAGGTTAAAAAAAAAAAAAAAGGCACTGAGAAAAACCACATCCCTGCTCTGTAAGTAGACACTGATATACAGAATATGAGTTCAGGAATGCCAAGATCAAAAAGTTCTCCCCGTCGACATGCCCTAGCGCCATATCCCTACATTCCAGAGACCCGCCTTCAAGTTCTGACAGCAGTCGTCCTCTGGGGGGCGCCGGGCAGGGATGTGGTGAAGGGCATGGAACTCAGTGTCCGAAGGCCGAGATTCCCAGGTGCCCCTGGGGCCACTCAGCAACCTCACACAACTTGTTTGGTCTCCTTCGGCCTCGGCTTCCCGCCTGTCACATGAAGACAATAATCATACCTGCAGCCCAGGAGTCTTTCGAGGATTAAATAAATTAATTTGAGTCAAGGGCTTTGCTCGGGTATCTGGGAAGCAAGGAGCCCTCATGGATTTGCAATTATTTTCCAGAGACCCCGGTTCAAGTACAAATACCTCACAGTCTCAGGGAGAAATCAAGTGACTATCAGAATCTTTTAAAAAGCGTCAAACACGAACACTCTCCTTTGGGAAAGGGAAACCAGTCCCTGAGCAGGGTTGAAGGTGAAGTGTGTGGTTGGGGGGAGCTTCTAAGGAGCAAGAAAGGATCATTCAAAGGCCCCAAACACACACGGGCAAACAAAAACCAAACACACAACCAAAAAACCAAAACAAACAAAACTCTTTTGCTTCACTCCTGTTCCCCACCCCCCACCAAAGACAAGGCTACTGTGAGAAAAGAGGTCTGAGGCAGAACTCTTTGACGGTAAGCACACCCAATGAAGGTAATTTTAAATCTGTATTTCAGAACAGTCTTTCCTGTAATTCAATCTAATGAATAAGGAGGATGTGTCCCTTGCAATGACTAGATAAGCCTGTAGTAGGGCTGCTTTTTTTGCTCAGTCTGGATGGACGGGAAGCCATCTGAGAGGGAAGTATCTGGTATCTTTTTACTAGGAAGTTTGATGATGGAGATAAACACACAACGCAAATACAAACACTTCGTGTATGTTGATTCCCAGGCCTGTTGTGAAGGTCTGACTCTCAAACCATTTGAAATGATTCTTCTTGGGGACTATAGCAGTCTTCGGTCCTGACACGAGGCTTTTTTGCAGAGGATCATGAAGATGGAGTTACTGATTCAACAGGCATAGCAAGAACCCAGTTTTTTAACCGAACTTACTTCCTTGGCCTGTATGCAGTTCCTTCTATCAATCTAGACAAAGATATGCCTCGCTGCGAAAATGAGAAAGTGTAGTTTGATTTCCTATACTTCCTTCCACCCTTCACCCCTCCCTACTTTGGTATGATGTCACATGAAATTACTTCCAGAAACGGAGAGTAGAGCAGCCAAATCATAAAACCTAAGTGCTATGCTTACTGCCTTCTTATCTACAAGTTAATACTGATGGGGGTGAGAGTCTATCGATGATCAAGGCCATGGTAATTTTCCTATTTCATACGAAATCTGAAATCTCAGCAGAATCGCAAACTGCTGAATCTACCACATTTGTATGACCCACACAAACACCCCATCCCTCTACAAGATTCCTACCAAAGCTCACACACTTGCAAACCTGTATTTTAAACCCCACCCTTACCTTTAATCGAAAACAGACAACAAACAGATTTCTTTAAAAATAATCTTGGTGGTAAAAACAAAAATATCATGAAGGGTGAAATATTAGCCAGTTACTGTACTTCTGTGCTTCCTTACCCCCCTTTACTGAAATTTTCCATTATGATTTTAAGATGTTGTTTCCCAAAGAATGTTGACAACTATTTCCCACTTAAAGCTGTGGTTTAAAAAGAAATAGGTTTTAACTTGAAAATAGCCCAGAACTGGGCTTGTTCTAGGGTCCTGTGAAATCATAGTAGTTCGTCCTTTAGATTCAAAATTTCCCTTATACTTTTCACTGACGAGTGAAGGTGTTTGCTTCTTTTGATAAGGGGCTCATAGCGGTGGTAAATCTGGTTAAAGAAATTGTCAAAGGGTGTTTTGTTTTGCATTATTTAATACTACATCATAGAAATAAATCACGAAAATGGATGCTTTCTCCATCACAATCACTAATTCTGGCCCAGTGAAAGTCCACAGAACTCTAAATATAAAGCTTTTCTCGTCTAGCTGGAAATATCTAAACACTGTGTTGAGATTTAATTTTAGGAAAGAATATTGGAAAACAGCTTAGATTTTAAAAGGACAATGCTATCCACTTTTTTATGCATCCTGTTCAGAGGCTGATGGGCTGCTCAACAAACTCGCCAAATCAAAAAAAAAAATGTTTAATAATTCTCCATAAAGAATAGATTTTTAAAAGCTATAGCACCAATCAGGTAACAATAGATCAATCAGGTTTTCCTAAAATGTAGTATTTGCAGTTGAAGCCTGGATAAGTAATTACATTCAAAGTAATGTACAGGGAGCTATCAATCCCCATTCATGCCGCTCGCATTCACCGAGCCAGGAGCTTTGCTGGGCTTGGAGATATAAAAATGAATCCGCCACAGCTGCTTTACTTCCAGCTAAAAGAATACACCTAAACAAAGAGCTACAGGGCAGTGTGTTAAGTGCTATAATAGAGGTGTGCACAAAGGGCTCGGGGCCAAAGGAAGAAGCTATAAATTCTTCCTGGGAAATCAAGCAAGTGAGGGGTGATGTTTCCTTGTGATAAACTCAAGACTTTTTCCTTACTATGTTCTCAAAAGTAAGTTAGTAATTTTAAGATTTATGAACTGTGTTAATGGCAAGTGCTATACTGGTCTATTTGCCAGTTTCATTTACGCTTGGCATAGCCTTTCAGTTACGACATCCCAAGAATATAAGTTTATAAAAATAAACGTATTATAATATTCCCATACAACAAACGCTATCCAGAGTGGCAGGAAGAGCTCCCATGAGTAAAACTTAGATACAATGTTCAAAGATGTTTTGAAACATAAATGAATGACATTCTTGACACTTAGTAATGTTACATCAATAATGCTTATTTTAAGTATCAATTTTTTCCTTTTTCTTCTTAATGCAAAAATAAAAGAATCACTTGATTATATCATGGTTAATATTTGTCTTTCTCTACTTCTGTGTTTAAAATAGAAGGAGGGTGTTGAATCAACTTCTACTTAGCATCATTTATTATGCATACCATATTCCTACTTATAACACAGTTGTGACAGAACCTCCATTGTTCATTACACACTAGCCCCAAACTTGAGTCATTCTAATGTAAGCATGAGAAACCACCGTCTCCTTTGGGGTGAATTTCCAAATTCCTCTGTGTTAAATTGAGGTCTAATTTTCCCTGTGCCTGGTTTTCACAAGAAGGTCCATTCCACCCCATGTGCTCCTTTTCAGCTGTCAATAAACAGAGGCAGTGAATTCCCCCACAGCTTCACAAAGCTAGTTAGGCAGAGCCATTCATTCCTTCAGGAAAACAGGGCATTGATTTCAGCGAGTTCCCAGGGAGCAGCTGCAACAAAGAGATCAAAGGCCCACCTCTCTTTCCCTCCACTGCTTCCATCAGGCCAGGCCCAGACAAACAGCGACAGGTTTCCTTGAGACAAGGAGAGGGCCCGGCAGACCACCTCATGGTTCAATTCAAATTCATCCGTTTCCTACATTCCAGGGACAGTCCAGAATGCTAACCATGACAAACCAGCACAATCGGCCGGCATAATATACTGCTCGCTAGTTCATCCAAGGTCAGAGGGAGAAAACAAGCACCCAGGGAAGTCCTCCACTTCTAGGGCCTGCTGGGCCTCAATGGCCCCCTGACATTCCATAAATAAACTTCCCCGGCTCACTCTCCCTTTTTTTTTCCGTCCTGCAATCCCGGGAGCAATGGTCTCACTTAATCTGCAATTTCTTTCGTGTCACCGTACCCAAACGCTCGGGACACTTTCTTCTCAACCCTGATAGTTCTAATGATGATAGGAGCATGGCGATGGGGGCAGCCCTTCTCAGTTCTCAGCCGGCACACTACCACCACAGGATGAATTTACAGCTGCAATTGCTAGGGCTTCCTTCAAGGCTTGATCTCCAGGGAAGGCCACACAAACTAGAGTCAATTCTCGTAGATTCTGTTTGGGGAACAAAAATGTCCACGGAGATAGGACTGTCAGCTTTGCTGTGAGCCAGGTAATCACCCAAACTGGCAATCCAGACCCCTAACTGACAGTCTGTGCCTGAATGAGCTTTGTGAGCTCTGTGGGAGTGAGGAGGGTTAGCGGGGGGGAGGGGCACATGAGGGGCTAGGAAAGAAGATGGATTCTGCAGACCGGTTACCTACGCTGAACGGATCTGACCCAAGGGTTTCTAAGGTCTCCCCAGAATTCTGAGCTGCTTCTTTGACACAACCTTCAAGAACGCCTGTAAGAAAATGTGTTTATTTCATTGTGCTCCATTCACTTCTGTCACTAATCCTGAGGAAACATGGGAGTGGATGGGTTAAATTCGAAAATTCCTAAACCAAAAAGAAAATAAACAATATTGGAATGAAAGGTATGGAGAATTCATTCCTTGACACAGAACACAACCTTCCCACGTGCCCATCTTATGAGCTTCAGTACGACCTGGGGGATCCATTCACTGATTATTCACTCGACTGCCAAAGATGCCATTTTGTACACGGTACCAAACAGCCCTCAAGGAGAAGACTTTCACTTATTCTCAAGTCTGAACAGAAATGAGCTTAGAAAATACAGAAGTCTATATGGCACGGGAAAGGTAGATTCCCAGTAGACACAATGTGACAGTTATATTAGGAGCCTCAAAGCCGACTCTGGAACTGATCCACTTTGGACCTGTCTTTCTACTCTTCCAAAATGGAGACAGAAATATCTGTCAAGGATTCCTTTACAAGGTATTGTGAAATAACCGTTCCTCAAAAACAAAGTATCTCATCGAAGAATGCTAGGCTTAGGAGTAGAAGTTCCTTACATAATAGAGGACTCTAAT